CTTGGGTAACAATGCAATTCCTTCATAAATGCAGTGCAGGGAGTAATTGTGGTTGCTGTAGGAGAGGAAGTGTATTACTGGCTGGATCATCGGGTAAGAATAAAGCTAAGAAGCCTGAAGGAAGTAAACTAATGCAGTCAACACATTTAAGCTGTAATGTGTAAAATGTGTTTTTGGCGTTTAGATACACTTTAAGCAAAGGTCCCAATAACATTCCCTTATATATGGATGGAGACTAGGGGGGGTGGGGGGATTTGCAGATCTGCCTATACAATTACTGTATATGGCACTGCAAACAAGTACAAAGTATGTTATTTTAGATGTACGTTTAAATACATTTTACTGTAATAACACAAAATACTTTCTTATGTCTGTCATGAAGTCCCCAGGTCTTTACACCCGGCGCCGTAGTTATATAGAGGTGACACTTTCCCAGTTGGATCTTCAATTTGTTTCATAATACAGAGAGTTCAAAAGGAATGAAATAATTTCTGAACAACCCTGTTTTAGCTGGAGTGAGACTCCAAAGTGGATGGGAAAAGAATCAAAACCTCGCAGCTAATAGCATCGGTCTGATCTGACCCAGCAAGCTCCACTAGGAACTAAAATGTGACTGTTGGACTGACCTCTTAGCTACACACGTGTAAGATAAATGACAAACGTGTTGTAGAAATGTTCAAAGCCGCTTTCTCTCTGAATGGAGCATGTAAGATTGTATTGGAGATTTGGTGCTGTGTAGGTGTGAAGCTCGTGGTTGGTGAGATGGCTTGGATTGGCTGGAGGTACCCATAGGATTTAGACTGCAAATGCAACATTTCTCAATGAATTGTAAAGTGGTATTAACCACTTGAAGTCCGCGGTGTTTACACCCCCTTCCTGGCCAGGCCATTTTTCAGTATTCAGCGCTGCTGTACTTTGACTGACATTTATTCCGTCGTACAACGCTGTACTGAAATAAATTTTATACCATTTTTTGGGGACACACAGAGCTTTCTTTTGGTGCTAATTAATCACCATATAATGAAAAAAGTACCCTAAATTAAAAAAAAACATATTTTCCTTATAAAATGTTATGAAACATTTATGATCACCCCAATTTTTTTGGTAAAATATAAGAGATGGGATCACGTTGGGTAAATAGACACCAAACATGTCAAGCCTTAAAAATGGTCGCGCCTGCAAAATCGCACAAAAACTACCATACCAAAAATTGGCCATAAGCGGCGCTTTAAAAGCTTTTACTGCTTATCAGTTTAGTGTTATCAGTGATTAATGGCAATAAAATTATTGCTCTGTTCGTGGCGATATGTAATATGTGCGGCACAATAGGCGGAATCGTCGTTTTCGCACGTAGGCGCACCCGACACATGTTTGTGTGTTTTTTGGTTTTTTGTTTTTTTTTACACATAGGGGTCTGAGAAACCCTGTATGTGATAGCCAATTCACATAACAGGTCCCCTTTATGGAGACAGGAGTCTCCAAGACACTTAGGGACCTCCAGAGAGGCTGATGAAGCAGAGATCTGCTTCAGCAGCTTCTCCCCAGCTTCTGTAGCTGCAAATAACAGCTGATTGCGGAAGTGATGTAATATACATAACTTCCTGCATTCGGGGACCGGAGAGGAGATCAAAGGGAGTTCGTGTACTGAGCTCCACCGAGTTACTGTGTCGGGCACAGCGGATCTCTGGACCGGCAGCGACGGAAACTGGGGTTGGCGCACACACGCACCTACTACAAGCAATCTGGCGTCTCTAGAGACTCCCGATTGCTTGAATGTAAACAGCCATCGCTAGCAGTTCTGACAGTTTCCCCACTCATGTGCATGCTGGGCGCCGCACACGAGCTGGGGGGAAGGTGGAGGACGTCTTAAGATGCCCTCCCACTCCTATAAGGCTCCCGTCTGGCCGTTCAGGAATTTATTAGATCATTCTGATTGTTCAGTAATGACCCTAAAATGATTCCCTATTTGTTTCGGTGAGCACAACTTCTATTTAGTGTGTGTTGGGTGATCTCCCAGTAACAGTAAATGGACAATATCACATGTCACCTGCTTATCGCTCTTCATCTTCGCTGTACCAGAGTTTAATAGAAAAGTGAATACAACTTTCTAGCTCATCTTGCAGTAGAGACACCAGTCTCGTGACATGGTCATTGGAGCTTCATGTATGACATGATTATTTGCATTGTAAGGCCATTTCTTGCCCTCATGTATGGCTTTACTTGGGATTGGCCATGTTGGGGATTTTCACCATATACCCCATTGTTTCCAAAGAATAGCAGTTCAGGCTCCTTGCATATCCAGCAGTTCGCGCTTTTATATGCCTTTTGTCAGCTGTGCATGGAACCTCTTCTTGGTTAAGTGTTTCCTATGTCAACAGAGACCGGGGCTTAGTTTAAATCTAAACACCAGGCGGGAATAAAAAAGCACCAATTAATGCAGTTGGGTATTCATGAAAAAAAAATTAAGCGTATTTTTCAATGCAGCTAGTGTAGGCAACTGCATTCATCAGCCTCTTGTACTCCCCTGTAAAGTGTGGTGAGGAAAGGAGGGGCAGCAACAAGAGCCAATTAGGTATGTTGCATACAGATATTCTGACAAGCAATGTGCTGCCAGGAGGATAGAGTGATGGAATGATGAACTGCTGCTGCTTAGTCAGCCTGGGTGTACAGTCTGGCAGGTTCTGTCTAAATATGAGGACTGGATGCATAACAATACAAATCCATTGGCATGTAATACAGTACTTCTGTATGTATTTAATCCAGTTATTTAGCAGTTTGCCTGGTGATTAGTTAACTGGCAGTGGGAGTAGAAAACAGCATAAAGATCTTCCTGTGCACATACATTTATGAGCTCCTTGGGAACCCTGAATCCTGGGGTGCTCAGGTATGGAGATGGTTCCTGAAGTCGATGATCTGGTCTGTCCCATTACATGTCTTTCCAGGTTTGCCATCACTGAGATATCCCATTGGGACATGGTTGAGGGAAGACCAGAGATCTAAGTTCAGGAACAGAAGCTGTTTGCTTAATTTTATGTCCCAGATTCAGGACTCTGAAATGTATTGAAACATACTCACTGATGCCTTTAGGTGCTGCTTTGTACTCTTGTCAGTTGAGTGTATTTCAGCTAAGCACCAATTTATGTGGATGTGCTGCACCAGTTTAGCAACTTTCTTCAGATCAATGTGAGGTCTTCATAAAGCTTTTACCTCCATGTCACATGAAGTGATGATCAGTTATGAGACCCTGAACATTTCCAAGGATTTGGTCATAACAACCTCAGGGTCCAGCCAATCTGACATTCCAAAAAGTGAGATTTCCCATTTTTAAAGGAGAACTATGGGGTTAGGGCTTTTCTCCATAGTTCTCCTTAGGGTAACGGGAGGACACAAACTAGCGTCCTCCCGTCACCCTAAGCTCAGTATACCGCGAGCTACAGCTCGCGGTATACTGAGACGCCGCAGCTGAAGCGGATCCTGACAATTATGTCTGGATCCGCCCAGCTGCGTGAGTGACAGCTTGCTCTGCCTATCTAGAGGCAGAGCCAGCTGTACCCTCTCCCGTCCGATGTGCCAGTCAGCGCTGGCGGATCGGAGCGAGGAATCTAGCCCCTCCCCTGTCACGGCAGAGAGCTGTGACAGGATCGAGAGGTGAGCGAACGCCGGTATGTGTTCGCTCACTTCTCGATCTACTGAGCCGACCTGTGACAGTCTCATTGTCACAGGTCGGCTAGAACTATGAGGTGAGTGAAAAGCACTCACCTCATAGTTCTCCTTTAAATCTAAAAGTAGAAAGGTGTGCCCATTTCTTCAACAGCTAATTCGGAAAGGTGTGTTTTTTTATTTATGAATTTTCTTACTCCTGGCATGCATGGGGATAC